TGCAGATTCAAATATCTTGATGGAACTTAGTATCCGTTTTCGGCTGACGCAAAATTAAAAGAGACGGTATTTGCATAAATACCAAGTGTTGTATTGATATGTAAATCTCCACGTTTAAAATATCAATTGATACAGCTGGAGGATAAATCCTAACATTTTTGACTGGGATTTGTATTCTTTGAATATTAGCCTAAGCTCCCCACCCAAAACGGAGGTGCTTTCCCTTCAGGCAGTACCTCTCCTTCGGGAACAGGCTTAGTGCGGTCTCGTGCATCAAACGCCTCTCCGGTTTTAAACGATTTAGGCTCAAGTGCAATGATTTCGGGCTTTCAGTGTTGTTTTGAGTTGGCCCTTGTATCTTCGAAGAGGCCAACTGCATGATCTTTTCCCTGTAGTGAGCTCACTGAACGGGCCGCCTGTCGCCTCTGAGTGTTGACTTCAATGTTCACATTTATATTTACATTTACATACGCTCTATTTCTGATATTGAGCACTTTAGCACATAAATATAGCACACATTAAAAAACTATATTTCTTATATATATATATATATATATATATATATATATATATATATATATATAAATTTCGCTTGAAGATGGAACAGAGCTTGGTACTTTAATTCAATTTAATTCAAATAATTATAGTCAAGTTTTCGGCTCTTGTTTTGAAACATGAGAACTCTTATGTAGCGATGGAATCATATTTTTAAATAAATAATTATATTTAGGCTCTACTTTTGTATCGAGCACTATTTTTTTAAAATAATAACAAAAATACTAAAGAACTTTGGATTATTTACCTAACGGGTTCTTTCCTATTTTCTATATTTTACACACACACACACACACACGCACACACACACACACACACACACACACATATATATATGTGTATGTGTGTATATATATATATATATATTGTAAAGCTTGTATTACAATTATTCTCGCAAATTCGCTTTTACAGTGGCTTCTCTCTCCTTTTATAACATTTTTTTGCGAAAAAACACACGCTTACACCAGTATATATCTATTTATCTCTCTGTCTATACAGATTTAAAACATGATAGGCCCTCTTACCAAAAAAAAAAAAAAATAAATAAAGTAGATTTCAGACAATTACTGCAAGACTTTGGAATAGTCATACTGGTCGAAACTACATTGTTCTCTCTACTAAACCTGATTGTTCATGCTAACACTTCTACCTCTCTGTATATATTCCTGTTTGTAATATATCTGTGTTATTCCATACCTGTGTTCGGGTTCTTCTTTATTGGTTCTACCTTGGACTATCACCGTGGTACAAGGAATCGGACCATAACAAGTGGCGACGAAGATTCGAATTCAATCGGTGGAAGAAAAAAAATTCGTTCGCCACAGTATAAGAAGTGGCGACGAAGAAACCAACTCTCTAACCAGAGGACATACCTTTTTTTTTTTTTTGCTATCCGTCGCGCATAACAAGTGGCGACCAGGTAACTCACGAAACCAACTCTCTATGTGGAGGATATACATTTTTTGCTAACCATTGCGCATATAGTACAGGCTATATTTCATTAGTTTTATTAATGAAACGTTAGCTGTAGGATTTTAATGAACTGATCATATCAAGCTGACAGCAGTTTAATTGGCTAATTAAGCAACGATGTTCTACTTTTCATCTCTACGAATTTCTGGAAAATGTACGGAGTCAAGATAACTATAAATTTTTTTATCTGGGAATGTAGTGCTAGCAGTTTTCTGACAACCAGAGGTAAAATTGAGATTAGACAGATTCAAAACAATCACCTGATGTTTAGATTTCGAGAAAAGAAAATGAATTAAATGAGAAATAAATGAAAATTTTCGTGATCAAGTTTCACACGACCGGAAGGTAGGGAATTCCAATCAAAGGCATATAACGTTATGTGCATACTAGGTAACTGACAGAGATCCAGTTAGAGTCAGAAGTTGTTCAGTGTGATGTAGAGATTCCAGAGTGATGATACGAGAGAGTTGCCAGTTAGAGACGAATCATGAGTCGTCCATCGAGATGTAAAGAATTGAAGTCATATATGTAGAGGAAAAGGCGTGCGGAAAGCGAAAAAAATATTCAAATACAGCTCTGATTATTTAAAAAAATTATTATTGAGTATTTGATTTTTTTCAACTTGAAAGAAACCAAATACTCGCAAAACAAAGTTTCACAAAAATATCTTGTTTTTACAACGCAACAGAATTATTTGTGTTAGTATGATAGAAGAAACAGAATGTGTCTATTTAATGAGAGAGACAAGTATTTACATTGTTTTATGAATGCGTGTAATTTTCCTGTCAGGTAAAGAGAGCTGTGTACTAATGATAATTTTGCTAGCATAACTCCGTTCGTATTTTTTCGTGTTGCTTAATCTATATCTATAAAACAGAAGACCTATGTGTATCTGGCTGTATGTACGTTCGCATTTCTCATCCGATTTCGATGAAATTGTACACATATGTTGCAAATTTATTAAGTTAGGTCAAGACCAACTTTTCAATCTCCAGCCTCTGCACCCCTGGGTTTGACACAAAAAAAATCGATAAAACTGAAGATGGGTACGACTTTTGCAAAACCCAAGGCAAAGTTAGACGCGAATAAAAACTTTACTGAATGAGCTGATGTTCTTTGTACTTAATACAAAACATAGCTCATGTTAGGATGTGTATGTAGAGTGCTTGATAGTTTTCCTGTGACATTAGCTTCACCCAAAAAATTGCAAAAAACTGTGATAAAATCAGGTTTTTCGTATTACTTAAAATAAAAACTTGAATAACTTCCTTATTTTTATCCGATTTTCTACAAACATGTCGCAAAAATTGCCATCGTGCAAAAAAGAAGATAGTGTGGTTTTAGTTTTGCTCACTTTCCAGCCTATAACGAAAAACCACAAAAAAACTGTTCAAAAACCTGTTTTTCAGCCATAACTCCTTGGTTTTTCATGATTTCCAAACTTGCCATATAAATTACATGTTAGACATTTTCATGACGGTCGTCTTCGAGTACAGAATCCAGAGGTTGGCACTGAATATTTCGGAGACAGTAGGAAAGCGTAGTGCAGATTCGCAGTGGATATCGCAGCAAAGTAGCAGAGCGTAGTTCTTCCGTCTGTCATGTTCGCCTGAGAAGTTGGCTCTGGTCATTCCGGTAGGAAAAACAAAGATGGCCGCCTTTATACACGACGTATACAGTGTTGTGCGGCTTCTGATTGGTCAACCTTCTATTGGTAGACTATAAAGGGAATTAAGTCATTTTGACTCGCTCACTAGTTATGTACATATATACACAAAAAACGTAACATTACATATGACAAAAAAATAGTCTTCAGTTAATGTTTGATTTGGATTAGTTCAGTTAAATGTACGAAATCTGCGATAAACTAGGTCTGAAATCGGCTTTTACCATTTAGCCAATAGTTTCTTCATATGATTCCATTCTAAATTGGCATTCAAACAACCTTTGATGCAAAGATTGTTTGAGAAGGATTATTTAAGCCTTAAAAGGGAACAATTCCAGAAGAACCTCTTATTAACCTCAGTTTTACAGTAAACGCGCAAAGAAGGAGGGCGGCGTTCATGCATTTGCACTTGCAGTTGAATCAAGCTCTGACGCTTCATTCCTGTTTTTGTTTCTGTTATGGTCCGGTTCCTTGTACCCGGTGATTGTCCAAGGTAGAACCAATAAAGAAGAACTCGAACACGGATATGGAATAACACAGATATATTACAAACAGGAATATATACAGAGAAGTAGAAAGTGTTAGTACGAACAATCAGATTTAGTAGGGAGAACAATGTAGTCTCGCCAGTATCACTCTTCCAATGTCTTGTAATAATTGTCTGAAAGCGACCCTGTTTCGGACTGCCTCTGGCTCGACTGACTGACTCGCTCGTTCTGACAGACTGACGGACTCCTGACGGACTTCACTCCAGACTGAACGGTATTTAGTCACCCCCCACGAGGGCATCATGTGGTGCAAGGCCGGTTTAACGTGGGATCTCCGAGCCCGTGGGCTCGGTCAAAAATATGCCATTTGAATCCGTAAAAACGAGTTCAGGGTCGGTTTACCTCCCCAAAAGAGACTCCGCTCTTCGGCGTAGCCTCGTTCGGGTTCCTACCCGCCAGAAGGAAGAGAGTCAACCGATCAGCCGATCAGCCAGTCGCCCGATTTCAGAGTGAACTCTCTGCTTCCTCTTGAGGCGCAGTATTTATTACGTATGGAATAGTCCATTATATTATTATGGGTAAGCTCCCATAAGAGTTTCATTATTAATTCAATGCCATACTATTTGAAATTTATTACGACTATAGGAAATCTACTGAATATCTAAAACATTGAAACAATTTAACCCCGAGCAACAACCACACAAGAATCTTTTATCAATGTAACTCCTTTATTAAGAAAAATCAAACACTTTTTAAGAACATAACGTAAAAAAAAGATGAGGGGGAGTAGCTTAGTATATGAACGGATAAGGCAGAAAAGCGGGGATGCAGGCAAACATTTCTAGACAGTGGGTGCGTGTATACAGCAGGTGCAGTTATACAATTGCAGCCATATACACCCGGGCAACGCCGGGTGCCTTAGAAATTTTACTTTAAAATCGCGAGTCTATTGCAAGAAGTTATTTAATAAATATGTAAAATGTTGAGTAATCAATTATACGAAAAGTAAGAGTAATCAGTTGTGTACAATTCCAACGAACCATAGTCAAAGGTTTACGGAAATACTGAAATCTCTAATTTGTGAATTTATGAGGTAGTATTTATAAGAGCGCATTGGCTCCAGGAAACTAAAACGAAACTCAGAAGTTTATTGGTTTAATAAATATTTTTCCCAATGTTTAAATTATAATTCAGGGCTGAATAAGGGTTAAGAAAGTAGGAAAAAAGGAAAATAATAAAAGAAAAATAAAAGCAAAATCGAATGCGAAAGAAAGAAAAATAGAAAGAGAGAGAGAAGGAAAGAAAGAAATGAAAGAGAATCAAAGATTAAAATTTAAAGAACGGGATAATAAGAAAGAAAGAAAGAAAGAAAGAAAGAAAGAAAAAAGAAAGAAAGAAAGAAAGAAAGAAAGAAAAAGAAAGAAAAAGAAAGAAAGAAAGAAAGAAAGAAAGAAGGAAAGAAAGAAAGAAAGAAAGAAAGAAAGAAAGAAAGAAAGAAAGAAGGAAGGAAAGAAAGAAAGAAAGAAAGAAAGAAGGAAAGAAAGAAAGAAAGAAAGAAAGAAAGAAGGAAAGAAAGAAAGAAAGAAAGAAAGAAAGAAGGAAGGAAATAATAGATTAACGAAAATTAAAGAGTGAAATCTAAAAGACAAGGGTTAAGAAAGAGAAAAGAAGAAAGAAAGAAAGAAAGAAAGAAGATCCAAGAATGACATTTACAAAAGGATTTAAAAAAAAAGATAATAATAAAGAAAGGAAGGAAATAATAAATGAGATAAAATCAAAGAATGAAATCTAAAAAAAAGGTAAGAAAGAAAGAAAGAAAGAAAGAAAGAAAGAAAGAAAGAAAGAAAGCTGAATGGTACGGGAAGAAAGAAGTGATTTGAAGAAAGAAAAACTGAAAGAAAGGAAACAAGGAAGAAAGGAAAAAAGGAAGAAAGAAAAACCAAAGGTAAAGAAAGAAAGAAAGAAAGAAAGAAAGAAAGAAAGAAAGAAAGAAAGAAGGCTAGCAAAATAGTAAACGAAAGAAAATGAAAGAGATGAAAGACTAGAAAAGCTCCCTCTGCTGTTGAATGACTAATAATGAGAACAGGTAACTAGAAAACCATATGCATACACTTAAGCTTAGAATTTATTTTATCTGGTGATAGTTGCAGACGTGAATAATGTGACAGTGGGAGTTAAAATGAGAGAGTGAGAAAGAGAATGTACGAAAGCATAATCAGAGTGATGACAGGATTCTGAAGAACTGATCTATGTAAGTCTTTATTTGTACAAGTAAATAATACAGTTCCTGATTTACTCAGTTCATTACACAGCTGATGGGTTAGAGCCCGCGAATTGGTTTTAGGGTGTTAGCGAAGGGAGAGTACGGGCTTCAGTTTTGTGCCGAGGAAAAGATAGGGGAATGAGAGACGTTGGAGTATGAGAGGTGAAAATAATGTAAAGACATCTGTACACTTCACTACAGCTGATTTTACAAGTATTTAAACCAGCGTTTCTCGATTTTTTTTTTTACTTCAGTGTGCACTTCTCGAGTAACTAAATCCTGGGGCGCGCTATAAATTTTAATAAGGAAAAATTAGTCATGAAATTTGAAAATAGGAAAATAATGAAGAAGTCTCTTGAAGTAAGCATTTATTTTTTAAGACGTTATGTCGTATATTTCCGTCCTGGGTATGACGATATGGTAAGGGTATGACATCTAACAAGCAAGGGAGATCGAAACCACCTCTTAATTGATGCTTTTCCTCCGTCTACCCTGATCCGGGTTGGCAGCAGCTGCTAGTCCTAGCTATGTGAAACGAAATTTTCCTGTTTCTTCATACTTTGCTTAGCTTTTTGATTACATCTTTTGCTGTTTCGTTGCGCGCTCGGTTTTTAACCAGGTTAATAAAAATTGTCATGTCATGCTATCTTTCTGTCTGATTCCGAAATATATTTGATCTATATTTGATCTCAACTCATACAGACAGACTGTTTCGGTGTATTTTTCCCCTAAGCTATCAGCTGCTGGCAGAGAGGAAGGTGAATTTTTACATTTATTTTTTAATATACACACTAGTGCATTATCAGCAGTAGCACTCACTGTTTACAAATTCGCACTAACCCTCTAAAGTGCTCGACCGAATTTTATTTTTTCGGGGGCGTATATATTGCCATCTACCGACAGACTGTTTCGCTGAATCACAGCTCATCAGCAGAGAGAAAGGTGAATATATATATATATATATATATATATATATATGACAAAGTGGTAAAAGTTTACTTGTGACGCGTTTCGTCCTTCAGGGCATCGTTAGACTAAATTTTTTATGTTGGTAGAACTACACATGCGCACGACACAATGGTGCTGGGAATTTTAGATTATTTTTTTATCTACCCGAATTCATTTTGAGCCTTTTTCTTTCCATCACTTTTGTAATATCACACAGTGATATTAGAAGATCTGCCAGGAATGGTGAAATATTGCAAGAGCCCGGGCGCAATATTACCGAAGATGATCTTGCGATTAATATACTCTCTAGACATTTACGTCGTAGTGAATTATTTTCTCCATTCATCAGAGTAGAAGTTTTTATGTTGAAATTGTGTCAGTCTCGTCGTGGTGAGCAACCAACGCATATGACTTATTATTTTGTAAAATGTCCCTTTTGTATTCATATAATCTTTTATTTAGAGTCTTTGCGGTTTCTCCCATTTATTTTTTCTGACAATTATTACAGGCGAAAGAGAGAGAGAGAGAGAGAGAGAGAGAGAGAGAGAGAGAGAGAGAGAGAGAAAGAAAGAAAGAGAGAGAGAAAGTGAGAAAAATTAGAGAGAGTAAGTCCCCGGATTACGACAGTCCCGATATACAATGATTCGTGGTTACGACGCAATCTTCACTAATCTTGTTTCAACTTATGACTTTTGCCTCGTACATAACGCGGAATGGGCCAGTTCCATATTGGAAATCGCTCTCTTTCGTTTGTGCTGTGTTTGTTGAATCTCTATCTATAAAAGTCAGGATGTGTGTGTGTGTGTGTGTAACGAATGCACGGCCGCAATTTTCGACGGATTTGCACCAAAATTTACATGCACATGTTCCAAGTAAGCGAAAAGGCCAAGACCGACATTGCATTTCCCAACTCCCATCGATAGTGGAAATAATCGATTTTTTTCATGCTTCTACGGCAGTTTTCATGTAGTTTGCGGCCATTTACTACTGGCCAGAGTGAGAGCCTATAGATGGCTGCCACGAATAGGCAGGAAGATTCTATTGGCCAGTGTGAGAGCCAACAGCTGACTGACACGAATGTTAACTAGCATGCAAAAAAATACCGATAGCTGCATTCGTCACAAGTGGGAAAAATTTAAATCTGCATGACACTTTACTCCAGTTGGCTCATTCGCTTGCTTAAACTCAACGTTGATTCTGATTCCGCAGAACTGGGTTGGGTGTGAAAAAGTATTTGTTGTTAACATTCTTTTTTCATTCGGTTTTTCCAGTTACGAGTCCTTTTTTAAAGCTGACCGTTTTGTGTTCATTTTGTTTAGTTCTTTTTTCTAACAGATTTAATGTTTAGTATAGAGCTTAGAAAAAATTCTCAGTGTAAGATAGGCAAGAAGTAAGGCATGTAGCAACATCAGCACGGCAAAGGGCACTCCTTTAAAGACAAGGAAGGGTAAAAATATTTTAAGTCAAGTGATAGCGATTGCTGTATGAGTCGTACGATTTTTTAATCAAGCACGGGCAACGCCGGGCCATGCTACTAGTTCACCATAAAAAAAAAGAAAGCAAAACAAACGTGAGTTTGTTTTTCTTTCTTGCCAAGTTTGCTTCTGCCTCCAAGTCCTGCAAGAGAGACAAGATCTTATGCTTCGTCATCTCCGAGAGCCAGTGACATTATTGGCAATAAATATACAAGCTGATTAAAACAATATTATTGCATGTATACATTGCACGTATTATTTTCATTTAATTTCATTATATTATATTTATATCCTCCATGTGTTTCTTATTCATAATTATGCTAACATATGTCATAGATATGTGTTGCCATGTCCTAGATTATTACTTTACTATCACGTCTGCATGGGTGAGTGACGTAAGCGCTTATTCGCGGGAAATCGCAAGTACGTTTCGACATACACGGAAAATCGCGTTACGCCGCAAATTACGAACGGAACTTGTAAGTTGAAGACCCTGTATATATATATATATATATATATATATATATATATATTCAAACCTAGAGAGTCAGACAAACCTACCAAGGTTTCACCTACGCGGATCGTTAGGGAAAGCTGGCTAAAGAGCTAAAGAAAACTGTATACTTATAGGCGATAAACAAAAGACCATGTGACCAAACAAAAAAAACAACAACAACAATTACAACAATAGGGAGGGTGGAGAAGAAATTTATTCGAAACGGTTTAAAAGGGAGGTCTGCTCTACTCTTGTATTGAGCACTTTTTTAGTTAGTTGATTACTCGTATTGGTTTTTTTTTCTTTGGGCTTTGGACCTGTATGCTGTACGATTATTTTCGACAGACGTTCATGTTCATAGCTCTTTCTTTTTTTAAAACCTTTTTTTCCTTCGAGATTGATTTGACCATTAGCAAATCAAGAAACCGAAGGTTTTCCGAGACGAGTGTAGTTACCTATATATATATATATATATATATATATATATATATATATATATATATATATAGTTTATGCAAAATAAGATAATCCGTATGGGTAGACGCAAGAAGGATGATATCCGATGAGCTCAATGTAAATTAGAGCAAATATATTTGAATAAAAACGATACTTTAACGTTCCATGTAATAAATTATTTCACCACAAAGGGTTTTTAAAATTTTATCATCGATTTACTTCAAAGGTTGAAATGAAAATGAAAAGAAACTTACACATTTTCACGGGCCGTATTAAAACATATGTAAAATTAACGTTAATTTACATATGCTTAATACGGCCCGTCAAAAATGTATAAATTTGTTTTCATTTTTCATTTCAACCTTTGGAAGTAAAGTCTGATGATACAGAGCCCTTTAAAAGGGCTGTGGTGAAATAATTTATTACATGGAACCTTAAAGTGGTCTGTTTTTATTCAAACACACACATATATATATATATATATATATATATATATATATATATATATATATATAAACACTTTAACAGCTGATAGCTTAATTGATTTTTCTTTCCACGTTAAACACATCAGGATTAATCATGGCAGTCAAACTTAGCTTTGAACAAGCAAAGTTCATTCTAAAATACTACTGGAAGTGTGAAAACGCAGTTGAAGTGCAATGGCAGTTTAGTAGAGAGCTTTAAACAGAGCCACCAATGCGACTTAACATTATTCGAATTAAAGATAATTTTGAAGCCGATGGAACTGTTACGAATGTCCACGAGAAGCATTCCGGAAAACCACGGGCTTCGACAAGCCCCACAAAGCAAGAAAGTGTACTTGAAACGTTTGTCCAACGCATTTTGAAGCGCTGTCAATGGAAAAGTTACATTAAAGATTAGTCCATGCTATTAATGACGATGATCTAGACCGAACAGTGAAGTATTGCAAAGGCATGAGGCGCAGAAGTTGCACACTTTCCAACAAAGGTTGTGTGGAGTGATGAGGCCACGTTCAAATTAAATGGTTCAGTTAACTGCATTTTATACATTAATGCATTTTTGGGACAACCTGTATATATATATATATATATATATATATATATATATATATATATATATATATATATATATATACACACACACACACACACAGACATATACTACTGTACTACTGTACTGATGCGGCATTCACCCTGGGCAGATTGAGCCGGCTTCTTCCTGTTATGAGAGAAGAAGATTCTTGGGATAAATTACAGAAGTGGGGTACCCAGGCCTACACAGAGACATATATATATATATATATATATATATATATATATACACACACACACACATATATATATATATATATATATATATATATATATATATATATATACACACACACACACACATATATATATATATATTAATATATATATATATATATATATATATATATCGGTGGTGTTTATTTGTGTATATACATCTGGTTGTGTTCTTGGCAGCGTGTGTGAGGGTATGTCTTAAAATGTTTGGGTGTGTCGGTCTGTACATTCTCTGTATGGACATGCAATCTTGTGCATGGTTATATTAATATTTAAAATGTATAAAGGTCAGCAGATAATTACATTGGAAAGAAAAAGTTAAAGAAACGAAAAAAGAAGAAAACGAAAGAAAGAAACGAAAGAAAGAAATGAAAAAGAAAGAAAAATCACAAAGAGTGAATGAAAATAAAAGAGAAAGAAAAATATTTAATTCATGGGTAAAAGCGAAAAATATAACTACGATAGAAAATAAAGAAACGAGATTTTTTGAAAAAGTTGGAAAGAAAGAAAAAAAGAAGAAAGAATGAAAATGAAATGGGTAGATTAAAGAAAGAAATGTATATATCCAACGAAATAAAGAAAGAAAGGAGACGAATTGAGTAGATAAAAAGAAAGAAAGAAAAAAAAGAAAGAATAAAAATTAAATGGGTAGATTAAAGGAAAAAAGAAACAAACAAAAGAAAGAAATTAAGAAAGAAGGAAAGAAACTGAAATGGGTAGGTTAAAGAAAGAAAAATGGGAAAAGAAACGGAATATTCGATGAAAGAAAGAAAAAGAAAGAAAACGAAATGCGTAGACTAAAGAAATAAAAAGAAATAAAGAAAGAAAAAATGACATATTCAACAAAGAAAGAGAAATTGACATATTAAAGAAAGAAAGAAAACGAAATAGGCATATTCAAAGAAAAAAGAAAGAAATTGAAAAAAAGAAAGCGAAATGGCTAGATTAAAGGAAAAAAAATGAAAGACCCATGGACATATTTAAAGAAAGAAGGAAAGAAAGAAAGAAAGAAAGAAAGAAAGAAAGAAAGAAAGAGAGAAAATGAAATGGACATATTCGAAGAAAAAAAGAGAAGAAATTGAGAGAAATAAAGAAAAGAAGAAAGAAAAAGAAAGCGTTGAATTAAAGAAAGGAAAAAGTGAAAAATGGACATATTAAAGAAAGAAAGAAAGAAAGAAATAAAGAAAGAAAGAAAAAAGAAAGAAAGAAAGAAAGAAAGAAGAAAGAAAGAAAGAAAGAAAATCAATTGGGTAGATTATAGAAAGAAAAAAGGAGAAAAACAAATGAACATATTAAAGAAAGAAAGAAAGAAAGAAAGAAAGAAAGAAAGAAAGAAAAAGAAAGAAGCAAAATCATGATGAAAGAAGGAAATCAAGTGTGATGAAAGAAAGAAAGAAAGAAAGAAAGAAAGAAAGAAAGAAAGAAAGAAAGAAGCAAAATCATGATGAAAGAAGGAAATCAAGTGTGATGAAAGAAAGAAAGAAAGAAAGAAAGAAAGAAAGAAAGAAAGAAAGAAAGATTTGAAATCATGGAGAAAGAAAACATGAAATCGTGGAGGAATGAAAACAAACTGAAGGCAAGGATTTAGAAAGAAAGAAAGAAAAAAAAGAAAGAAACAAAGAAAGAAACAAAAAAAGAAAGAAGCAAAAAAATGATGAAAGATAAATTGAAACGTGATGAAAGAAAGAAAGAAAAAAGCAAATCATGATGAAAGAAGGAAATCAAGTGTGATGAAAGAAAGAAAGAATGAGATTTGATTGAGAAGCGAAACTTATCGATTTGATAGTACTGATTATGACCGTATATTTCTTGATCGTCGAAGGAAGTGCCAATAATGTTTGATTCGAAAGCAAACGCGCCTTCGCACATTGGCAATTCTTTCTCCTTCCATAAACCTGCTTGACGACTGCCATTAAAGCAAACATAAAAGCCAAAGAGCTTTTTCGAACGACAACTAACAAAGATACACACAGCGTCAATCAGGAGCGACTTAATTCGACCGCCTACCGTGTCGTCCGCTCGTGTATGTATCGGTGGGCCTCCCCATTTCAATTCTTGTTGGCAAACACCATAAACACAAGCAGAACAATTAAGAAGTGGCCATTGCTTTACAAATCAAACTGAACTTTTCTTTAACGTCGTCTCGTTTGAACGCCATTTTAAATAAGTAGCTTTTTTTATCTCGGTAAAAATTTCGAAAGTAAAAAATCTTTCTCTCCGCCTTTCCCTCTCCCTCTATCTATCTTTGCTCATATCTACCAGTATGTTTATGTAAATATGTTCATATCTATCTATCTATCTATCTATCTATCTATCTATCTATCTATCTATCTATCTATCTGTTTTTACTTGTCTGTCTGTTCCAATCTGTCCATAGTTGTCTATCTTTTTCAGATCCGTTCATATATAACAATCTTTATTTACACTATTTATATTCAGACTGTTGTCCTCATCTTTGTTGTTATTATCTTAACGTTTCGGCAGTTGCCCCCTCCGGACTTCCCCAGGGATACTTGCACTCAATGGAAGCGGGCGAATAATAACAGAACAGTGGTAAATGAAATATGATCTAGGTGATGTATTCCTTGACATGAGCAATGGAACGAGAACAGTCTACCCCCGTAGATTAAGTAAAGGGTTCAGTTCAGAATCCCATGTAGGTTACCTAGATCGATATACATCTGAGGAAGGCCGGAGCTCGCAACGACCGAAACGTTGCGATAAAAACAACAAAGATGAGGACAAAGGCCCGAATATAAATAGATTAAATAATAGTAACTCCTAATCCCAGTAATTCAGTTATCAATATGTCTATGTAAATCTATTCATAAGTATTCATATCTGGTTGGCTGTATATCTATCTATCTATCTATCTATCTATCTATCTATCTATCTATCTATCTATATATATATATATATATATATATATATATATATAAATGAGAATGAATAAGATATAATAGTAGAGCGATATTTCTTTATTATAGGAGAATGAATATCCTATAATAAAGAATATATATATGTGTGTGTGTGTGTGTGTGTGTGTGTGTGTGTGTGTGTGTGTTGTGTGTGTTTAAAGCAAATGTTATTAAAGACAACAGACGTTTATCGATTAAGTTTATTAATCAGCTTTTCCAAATTACGAATAACCCTTCTTAGATGAGGATGAAATTTCGTGAGAAATTGTTCCAAGTTCATTTCGAAAAAAATATGGCCCAAGATTTCGATTTTTAAGTCATCATCAGGTTAAGTAGAGACAAATGGTGAGTTTCATAGAACTGGTGAGTGTCATGACCTGACCAAAGAATGTCGTGACGGAGGCCATTTGTGACGTGTGCGTATTTATTTTATTTTATTTATAAATATTTTTATTTTTTATTTTTGTTTATATGCATTTAAGTATGTGATCTCTTAAAATTAGCATGGTTTTTATTTATACAGGATTGTTTTAGTTTTATGAATATTACTTCGATGATCATAAATCTGTTTTGATAGTATTTTAGTATTGTTTGTGAGTAGATGTCTACTGTTACTAGAATCCTTATGCTGCTTATAAATGTGTTATCTGTGGCATTCTGGTCCGATAGGTGGCAGATGAGTCTCCGCGAGTGTGTGGTTGTGGTGTATCCTATATAAGATGATTGTATTTTGTATTTACAGAAAATCATTCTCCAAGTAGGCAAGCATACTCATACACAACATTGGACTGGTTGGAAGTTAGGTATTATTATTTTTAATCACTAAGCTGCTAGTGTTTAATATTTTGTAATATACAATGAATCAGATGTATTTCTTTTTTATCGACTGGTTTTATATATTTATGTATGATGCTTTTTTTTTTCAGTTTCTTCTGTATATGTCTATTTCGTCTTTCTCACTCTTTTATATATATATATATATATATATATATATATATATATATATATAGAGAGAGAGAGAGAGAGAGAGAAACCTAGTGAGCCAGACAAACCTACCCAGGTTTCACCTAAGCGGATCGTCAGGGAAAGCTGGCTAAAGAGGCAAAAGAGCATATTTATGGGCGATAACCAAAATCATACGACGTGACCAAAGAAAAAGAAGAAAAAACACAAGAAAAACAACACCGACAAGAAGAATTCGAAGGTTTTTCGAAACGAGTATAGTTACCTATATTTATATATGTATACATACATATATATATGTGTGTGTGTATGTGTGAAAAATATGTATATAAATATGAATATATATATATATATATATATATATATATATATATATATATATATATATATATATAATAATAAATTATTTATATATATATATATATAATGTAATTATTTATATATTATATGCGCGGTACTTATTAGAAAGCGCTCAATATCAGATATAGAGCTAACATATTTAGTTGAATTGATGTGAGTTTGTGACCCTAGGTTTCACGCTTTTGCGATCGTCAGACAAACTGATTAATTTTTTAAAAATTTGGGTTTATGTAGATTGCGTGTATTGGTGTTATTCAATCCCATAATAACACCAATACACGCAATCTACATAAGCCCAAGATTTAAAAAAAAAATTAATCAGTTTGTCTGATGATCGCAAAAGCGTGAAACCCAGGGTCACAAACTCACATCAATCCAACCAAATATATATATATATATATATATATATATATATAGATAGATAGATAGATAGATAGATACTACAGTTCAAAAGTTTGAGGACACCCTTGGTATTTTTAAATTGGCCCCAAATGTAGTTGCTTTGTACTTCGCATAAGAGAAAAATATTATTTTAAAAAATGGTTAAAATAATAGTGAGACCTGATTTTTATTAGTAATTTTATTATGGCAAAAAGAAAAAAGCATTTTATGATAAAATTTTGCTCTCGTCAAAATATCCTTCTTTAGCCTTCATTACTGCAGTATGCAATTTTGGCATTCGTTGCAAAACCTTCTCAAAATATAAGTTTCATAATTGATTCCATTCTTTTTCAATGACTCTAAGAGCTCGTTTTCATTTTTGATATGGAAATGTTTCACTCTTCTGTCAAGTTCATCCCATGCTAATTTTGGGGTGACTTCAATATATATATATATATATATATATATATATATATATATATATATATATATATATATATATATATATATATATATATATATATATATATATATATATATATATATATAAACAGACACACACACAGACACACAGACACACACACACATATATATATATATATATATATATATATATAAAAATATATATATATATATACAAAACATGCACCCTAAACTTATATACTAATCATCCTATTTGAAAGCAATAACATTTAGTACACACGAACTTTATTAGCGCCATTTTTAATTCTGCTCATGAATATTCGATTCATTGCAATAATCCAATTCTTTTAAAGTGACTCTAATTGCGCGAAATATATAAAATAATTTATTTACATAATATAAGTAAATGGCGAATTTTGCAACGGACCTAAATTTAGGATACAAACGACAATTACCCGATAATAGTTCAATAACGATCGCTTTGGATTCACTTAATGTTGCTTCAGGTTTTAGCGGAACATAAAAGGCGGCAAATTATCAACACGCTAATCTTTACAGCTGCAGTTCAGCAATGATTTCATTTGTCATGCAAAGGTGGGTGACTGATGCACATGCGTACATAAATATTTATGAACATGCGCACATAAATATGTATTTATTTTCGGAGGTTTGTGAGTTTATTTCCCAAATGATCCAAAATGGTGAACACACGCACACACATACACATACACACACACACACATGCAAACAAAGGCACACACAGACACATACACATATATATCTGTCGGATTTATATCCATTTACACTTGCTTATATACTGTCTACTGAAAACACAAACCTAAATTCGTTTTTTACAACATGGAAGATTGCAGGCTTATCCAGAAATACAGGAATTTTAAAATAATCACGAACTTTTAGGAATACGTTATGAAAGCGTCGCCCATGTGACTACGGCGTGACCACGTTAAACGGAAAGCTGATCTTTTAAAATTGTCAGTTATCTGTTTTACTCTTGGATAAGACTTGTGTTTTATGTCCATCGTTTTCGTCATATTGAACTGAATTTGTATTTTAATGAATTTTGTCTTGAAAATGGTTTATTAAAACCGAAACGTCTGACGTCGACAATTCTTTTTCATTTTAACTACATTTATGGATTTTTGTTTGTTTTTCAAAATTTCTACATACACATATATGTATGCGCATATATATATATATATATATATATATATATATATATATATATATATATATGTATGTATGTATGTATGTATGTCTGTGTGTCTGTGTGTGTTAAAGATTAAATGTAGATCAAATATGGATCGGTATCCAAGAAGATGATAAAATAAAGACAAATAGGAAACGTTTATCAATCTAACGTATTTAATTTTTATTAAAGCTTCGTCAGAGATTGAGAGAAAACTGACAAAAAGACAGAACATTCTATTTTCAATTTTGTTTTGTTCGATTCTCATTGGCCAGTCATGTATCACGTGCCTTAAAAGCGTATCTATATGCGTGTAACTTTGTAAAAATTCTAATATGTCTAACCGGGCATCGAATGGTATGTCTGTTCGAATTTGTGTATATATGTCTGTCTAGTACGAGGAGTTATAGAATTATAGAAAATGCCTTATTAATAGCGATATAATAGTGAAAGGGTGGAGAGGTTTCGTCTTTGGGAAAGGGGTAACAGAGACGAGTATAATTAATCACCCAAAAGGCTGCGTAGGCACTTTTAAACTCTTTCGAGGCTGGACAGTCAGGACTGAGCATCACCAGCTCTCGTTCGGCAGCAATACTCTATTTCTGGACTGATCTGAC